GCCAAATCACTGATTCTCCCAATCAGCATCAAATCGTCAGATTCAGATTCGGCCAAATCAAATCAGGGACAGTGATCTGAAACAATTAATTAATTGAATCACTGTCCTCAATTCTGGCCAAATCCATATACAAATTGAATGTGGCCCATTTCGCACACCCCTAACTGATAGTACTAATACGTTACAGTCTAGTACTATCTAACACAGTAGCATCGCCTAAAAGACACTTACCAGCACTACTGTGGTAACTGGTAACTACTTGCTAATTCAAGTACTAAATAAATGCGCAGTAATGACTACACAGAAGCATCTTGTGTAGACGTGCTCAAAGGGAGATACAACAGCATAATGTAATCATATAATATAGCCCCTCAGTGTGTCCCATTGCTTCTCTACTGAAATCTCCACTTTCCTTATTCCAACCAGTGATAAAACATCCTTAAAGTATATATTTAATATGATAATATTAATGTTTACACTATTCATCTTCAAAGTATATATTAAAAGCACCCCAACAAACCATTTTGCACAGTCAGATGCTGACACCAGGGCAGAGTCTCACTGAAGTCATGAACATCCATCTAAATGGAGCAGTGTGAAGGAGTGGGGGTTTACAGCTAAAAAAGCCATACAAATGCTCTTGTGGAGTACACAAGGGGACTGGTCACAAAATAGTTAAATATTTTTCATGAAAAATACTAAAGAATGCTTTTAGAATCCCCCCTGCCCCCCAGGATCCCTGGAAGTACGTGATTTTTATTTATTTGGTATGAAAACAAAAAGAAAAATACCCTTTTATTAAAAACTACATATATAATGCTCTTTAGTTTGGTCTCCTGCTTGCTTCAGGTTTCTTTTTTGCCCAGTTTTCCTCTCTTTTCCTCTGGAAAAAGAGTATGGGGTGAAAACTCAGAAAGCTGAAATATTTGTTTCAATTCAAATGAAAACAAAATAATTGTTTCATTTTGATAACATGTAAAACATTACTTATACTTGGAAAAGCCTCTTTTTGTGAACCAGTTTTAACCATCTCAACTGAATAATATTTTGTATACGCTAAAATAGGAAACTAAAAAATGCTTAAAAGAAAAAAGTCTTTCCCCCTATATTATTATATCAATAATATTACCCATACAGTTTTAGTCACAATTAGAACCCCATTAAGATGGGTGCTATATAAGCATACAGGCGAAAAAAGGTCTGTGCCAAAGAGCTCCTATTCTGAATAAATGATACATGTACTCAATTCATTTAAAAGTCCTGATAATCTGTTTATTTTTAAAGTTGTTTTCTACCTTCTTGTTTATTGTATTACCAATTTTCTTTCATGTTCTTTTTCCTGATTTAGACTAGGGATAATTGGAGAACTGCTAGGTTGAAATTGTTACCTAAGAAGTGAAATTCAATTGAGATTGCTATTCAGATTGTTCATAACTCTCTTGTTTGTAATTATTTTTGTTTTAAGTCCAATTTAACCAATTGTCTGCAAGCAGTTGGAAAAAGTTCTCATTGTTAAAGATTCAATTCCTCCAATAAAAAATGTGAAAGATCTTATCCTATTTCGTCGAATCCTCCAAGAGACCTTCAGCAGACTCAGGAGGAAAAAAGAAATCATATTCTTGAAATTTCTAATATAAAAACGAGTAAAAATCTTTTGAGGAAAGACACTCATATCTTCTTTAGATATTATTAAGCAAAAAGGGCATAAATGCCAGTTTTGTTCCTCTCTCATAAGCAGATTGCTATCTGATAACTAAGCCTGAAAATGTAAAACAGATGCGTTTCAAAAATCTCGTAGAAATATTGTAATTTTTTTAATATTAATGAAAACAGGATTTTTTGTCACAAGGTCTCTCCAAACGAAGCATGCCATCATTATGCTCACAAAGCAGAATCAAGACAGTGCAAAAAGCAAAACTGGCCTTTTTTCACCTTGTCCAAGGAAGGGAAGTAGGAAAAGAAAAATAATATAATTGGGGAAAATCTCCATTACATTTGTAAAAAAACTGAAACCGCTATTAGTACCTAGAGTAAGCAAATGGGCTTTTAATAAAAGACTTTTTTCCTGATAGGCCCTTTTAAATTGATTCACTCATTGTACAGAAAGTGTCAGGGTAGGAACCAGGATTAGAACACAAGAGAAATTGTCTCTTTTCTGTGCTAATTACGCTATGTATCTCTGTCCTAAAAAGAGACATCAAATGGAAAAGGGGAAAGAGGGTCTCACATAAAACAATAGGCATGAATCTAATAACATTTCCGCTGCAGTTCCACGCTGAAGTTCCACTGATTTACAATGTTATACCATTGTGAGAATGCATGTGGCATATACAAGAATGCATGTAGATCAGTCATTCCAGAATAAACTGTATTAAGCAGCCTCTTTTTATCTGACTCATAAGCCCTTACCTCCACTCACAAAGACAAAAACCCCCACAAAGATGCCTTATGGCCACCTCATAATGAAAATTCTTTGAGAAAAAAAACTAGGGATCTTCCCTGATAACTCAGTCCTCAAATTGTGTTCTACCTGCGCAATATGCTGCACAAAACAAAGCAACATACTAGGCCCTTAGCACAAGTTACCTGTGCTACACAACACTTACCCCTCAAGTATACCGTTTTGTTCGCTAACTGACTAATATCATGTTATCACTGTCTGCTTTGTAACTTGCCATTTTAGAGGAGGGGGGAGAAAGAGGCATTAAGCACAAACAAGAAAGTACTGCATAAATACTGATTCTGTGGCAATACAGAACATGCAGCAATGTAATAAAAGCAGCGTGTCTTTGTTAACATTCCTTTCCCTATTTTCTTCTCAAGGTCTTGGTCTGGTGATGTCTTCTTTCTCATTTATGCATGCAGGCTCTGTTGTAAACACCCCGAGAAGGCAAATGATCATCCTCCTCAGAAGCCCTTCTCTCTTTCCTCCAGCCCCAGAGCTGACTCCCTTATTCTGATCAACCAGACTTGATGCCATGGTGCCCCCAACTCCCTTCTACACTTTTCCCAAATCCTGCCTTTTCTTCTTCTATCAGTTCGCTAAAGTTTGTCATCTGCTATCCAGACCTACTGCTAAAACTCAGCCTTTCTCCCTCTGTATGTCTTATAATTTACCATACTCCCATCCAGTTCTTCTAATTTTCGGTTGAAAAGTCATTTCCTCTGCACACCACTCCATCTTCTTACTCATTTAGTTACACCCTTCTTTTAAACTGTTGACATAAAAGCAATGCCACTACAACTTTCTTTCATTGTGTTGCAAATAATCACTTTCCTTTTTCATTTTCAGTTAGGCTTTTTCACTAATTCAATAAAACTTCAATGAAACTTTCCTTTAAAACTTGCGCCAAACTATTTTGGTTTATAGAGGCACAAAAATATTATCAAGATCATAGGCAGGTAAGGTTCTTTGGGTAGATGTGATATCTTCTATTAGAAATAAAATATTTTAGTTGGTCTAATAAAAGATACCACATCTATCCAAAAAACCTTGCCTGCCTATGTCCTTAGACCAACACGGCTACAACCAATGAGCCTATCAAAATCAAACATTTTTACTGTTACTACACTCTCCTAGAACAAGTCAACTGAATTTTAAAAAATATAAGTTATATAGTGTTTCTAGTCTTCTGGCCTTATTCAATTCCTACTGATGTCAATAGCAAATTCCTGCTGGATTCAATGGGATTTGGAATGGGGCGTTTAAAGCAGCATGACTCTTGACTGCTTATTCTGTACATAAAACTTCTATTGCTATTGATGAGAGTCAGAAAGGCAATCTGGAGTGCAGCATGTGAAACAGAGATCTGCACTGCTGATAAGAGATCTGTGCTGTGGAGCAGTAAGGAGAGTTTTGGCTTGAAAGCAGAGTAATATGATCTTTGCAACCACAATAACTTAATTTAATTAAGGTCAACTTTTCCAACTCTGGAAAGTTGCTACTCTACAATAGCTGCTCCTGAAAACCCTTCCTCCCAGGAACTCCACCAATGCATTAGGAGTTTATGAATATTTTTACCATAGAAAATCCCAGAGGAAGGTGCAGAACTGTTACATTGTCAAACTCTTGGCAGAATTTTGCATAACAAGAATGCTATAAAGCGGCATCCTGCTTTAGCACTTTTATTATGCAAAAGTCCTATCAAATGCAACAGCCAGATAACACGCAAACTTCAGTTTAACAGTGGCCCCTGTGAGGTCAAGAGATGTCCCTTTTGTTTTACAGTTTAACATACTTTTGAGACTATTCATACAAAAAAAGAGGGGGGAAAAGAAAAACTTAAATAACTGATAAGGATCAGGCTTAACCAAACAATAGGAAGGAAATTCAAAGTTACAGCTACCACTTAGTCCTTAAGGCACCCCATTGTGCCTAGGTACCACACTGTAGAATGATCTTACAAGACATACAATACCAGGGACTAACAAGGTGAAGTAAAGAGACATAGGTCTGAATTTCCCAAGCTTTTCTTGGTTTAAGTTCAGGCCATGAACGTTATTTTAACACAGTATTTGTATCTCTTGGGACTAATTGTTCTGCTGTCCCTGATTCTTTTGTCCTCCTTGTTGTGAGTGGAATGCAGCATGCCGCACACGTTCCACTCATAACAAGAAGGACAAAGGATTCAGTGATGGGGGGACAATTAGTCCCAATTAGGCCTATTTCGCAGCTGATTGTAAAGGGTGGGGGAAGGAGGCTTACATTTTTAAAGAAACTGTCCCTGGGTGAGTTCTAGTGAAACCAGGAATGCTTTGATTTGGTTTCAGAACCTGCACCTCACATACTCTGATGAGCTTCACAAAGTTCTGCCATTGCTCCTGGAAGAGGACAGTGATTCGCATTAAGAGCAGATGCAGTATTTGTCAAACTACATTATGCCACAGGCGTTGTCAAGTACTTTCTTTGACAATCGTTCCAGGTTTTCAACCAAAACTCAGTGTTCACTTAGCAGTCCTCACTTTAAATAATCTTAAAAAGCAAAATTCAAAAAACTTACATGTGTACATGTGGAGGCTGGAACCTGCTCTGGTTAATGTTGTAGTGTGTAAATGCTTGGGTTGGATTTGAACTGTATTCATCCACTGTTATGGTAACTTTGCCTTGTGAAGGAATTCCATGAGCCATCCTTCCTCTTTATAGACATGAGCAACTTACAACTTTCCAGAGCCAAGTATGGGGGAGGGCATCGTGTTCCAGCCAACTTCTGAACCCAAGGATCTCCTCATCAACACTGTGGACCTCTACAAAGGAAAAAAAGACACAGAGACACTGCTTAAAGACCCAGGCCCATAAAAGGATAAAACTGTTGCTAAACCTCAGTTTGGCCCTTTGGAAATCTGTATCTACCCATACAATACACCCATTACCATGGCACTCAATCACTAAAAGTTAATTATTCCTGAATCTTTTCTTTAAGGTTTCCTCATTTTGCACAGTTTCAGTAAGAACTGTTGAAAATAAGGTTTTATGGAATATACCAGTACAAAATAATCTGTATGGGAAGACCTACCTAAATGCTTCATATTTACTATTCTTCTTTATTTCAAACACCTTGTACTAATTCCATCTTAAGAAAATTAATAACTGGCCTAACTTTCTGAAGTCCAAATGACTTTCCACAAATGCACTCAACCCTTTTGAAGTGCTGTTTTATAGTTTTACAGTTACCATTTGACAGTTCTTCTGGAAGTTGAATACAAGGCAGGGTATCTTACTATGCTGTAACAAAGGGTAAATTCAGAATGCTTTGGATCAAAGTATTTATATTTGTGAAGAAAAGCTTGTAATTGAGCAACATTACTGAAATGCTCATGTGCTACATTCCACCAACAAAACTGAGCTTTCTATACATAAACCAACACTTGGGATTTATCTGCTGCTGTTAGTAGATATTCCTTTCTAGGCATTTATATAATTTCTATTATGAGAATTCTACACATAGGAGAAAAGAAAAATGAGCCCCTCTGTCCACATTCTCATACCTGAGCTCCAGCTTCACAATTTGCCAATCACTAAAGCACTAGGAGGTTTGTTGGTGCATCCAATGTCATGTAATTGTAGCAACAGCAGTCTGTCAAATTCTTTTCTTTACCTCCAATTCAAATTTTTTTCTTTACCTACTTCAAGGCAGTCTTAATGTTTTAGCACTGAGTTTGGGAATGCTCTATTGTGTGAGAACAGGTGTCTGAGCCAGGAACTCCTATAGTATCTAAATCCCACCTCCAGTTCCTACATACTCCTCATTAAATGAGGAGCCAAGTCTACCCTCTGTCATGAGGACTTTGTGAAATTGTTCAGGTAAGGTGTGCAAAGTGCTTTCATGATGCAAAGGTGTATGAAAGTGCTAATTATGAGACATCTTCTGCTGTGGGAAACCATTCCAGCTTCACTGACTTTAAAGAAATTGTGAGATCTATGCCAGCTGAGGATCTGTCCTCTTAATTATTAGACACAAGATTAGATTTTTGCATTTCTGTGTATGTTACAAAAGTAAATCTCCACTGGATGGGAAAGAAAGCATAAAATAGATAAGAGGCTGATCTGAGCCTTAGGCATCAAGCTATACAATGCCTTTCTCATGGTGAGATTCTTGGACTCTTCCTAGCTTCTAAACAGAAGTATGTTTGTTATGTGTCACATCACACATTTAAAATCTTCTATTTGTATTCAAAATATATTTTAATACCAAGATTTGTTTCCAGTTTGGCATAAAAGTCTACAAAAATGGCCTGGAAATGGCAGATGGCCTGCTATAGGCCATTTATTTTATTATTTTACAACTTCAGGCCTATGTAGGTTTCCATATGTTGCTTGGGTTAAGAAATTCCACAACCTTCATTGGAGTAATTGGGTTTTCTCCTCCATCTCCTGTATCAGTAAAAGGCAGCCGAGATTAAACCAAACCATAAAGTTCCTATCGAGAGAGAAAGACACACTTGTGACTTAGTATGTGTCTGTAAGGCACTGTATTGTCTTTGTACTAAACTGCCCTCACAAGTATAGTAGAAATGGCAGGAGAAAATCAGCAAGGTAAGGTTTACGACTCTGCTAGTGTGATGTAAGATATGTGTAACAACTGCTTACTAATCATAATGTAGTGGTTTCCATACTAAGTTTGCAGCTGTTTCCTTAATTTCCCTCACAATTATATTTTACTGTTATTTTGCATAACAGTAAAACACAACACCTGCTTCAAATTGCAGTCCTGTTCTAAGTACTGTAATTCTTCTGAGATGCAGCCTATGAAGAGTGTGCAGCGTAGAACTGCATAATTGCACTGCACTGAAAAGTAAATACAAATGAAAACATCTTCCTGTTAGAAAAATGACTGTCATTAAAAAGAATGCTAGCCATCACGGCTTATGAGGAAAAAATATGCATTTTTATACAGCAAGAATTTCAGCGTTTGCATAAATTAGGAAGTAACGTGGAAATTACATGTCCAATCTTATTTTTGCAATCAAAATCCACTGTGTAAAACAAGAACATAAAAGCAACCACAAAAATTTGCTTAGTTCTTTAGAAAAGCTAAGCCATTGTGATTTTACTAGTCTAGTGGAAGCAAAGGTCAGGACATTAAATTTCATATTGCTGTTAACTCAGAAAAAAAAATCATTTGCTCATTAAAATGAATTACATATAAAAAATAAGTCTCTCTTAAGTATCTCTTTTTTCAATCTATTTATTACAAAAATAGAATTTTTGCACACTGGCATAAAACAAATGTCAAGAGAGCACTGGATAGACATAAAATACTTTTAAGCTGAGTTTGTTATTTTAAAAGTAAAAACTAAAGTTGGCCTCCTATAGCATTTAATCTTTTGTCTATATTTAAATAAGGCAGAAGTCAAACAAAGCTTCCTGTTAAACAGAAGGACAATAACAAATAAAAAACCTGAAAAACATTAAATAGATGACTGGGCTCCCAACTTCTTCAATTCCATTTTCCCACTTTAATGATTTTGTATAGGAATACAGCTCACCTATCAGGTGTTTGATTATTCACTTCTTTAATATGAAGTTGTTTGAAGACATTGTCAAACAGATGTACAGCACTTTAAAACTTCCATAAACACATTTATATGAGGCCCAAGAAAAAAGGCTCTTTTTTTCATCACTACTCTTCTTCTCACCCCTCTAACAGCAAGCATTCACTAAGATTACATACAAAAGATGAGCACAAAAGAACAGTTGCATTTTTTTTCACTGCTGTCAAGTGCAACATGGTGTGTGCACTCTTAGCCATTTCTAACCATATAATTTTTAAGCGAAAAAGAGGATCGTAAAACTATTAAGCAAAGTATTTTAGTATATTGTGTTTTGCTAATGACATGTCAGAGGTTATTCAGGAAATAACAATAATCATCTTTCAGAGTGTGTTTAGGGTTTAGCATGTTACAAAGACATACGCTACTGTACAGACCTGCTTAATTTTAAAACTGATAAAACATACAAGACTGAACATTTTTAAAGCAGTGGACCATAATATACATTTTGCCCCACAGCCCATTTTGGTTTTTCATCTAACATAACAAAATTGAACAGTGTCAAGAGATCAACGCGTGGAGGGGTAGTTCAGACTGAGCAGCATTTAAAATTCCATTTGGAATATAACGGAAATAAAATTACACACAAAAGCACTTTCCAGGGCTATGGCAAGGGTATGAAAAATATATCCCCCTCAAACATAAACACATCTGGATCCTAAACGGGAAAAATCAGCACTTCCCCCTTTTGACTGATACTTGGCTTTTGCAGATTCGTTAGTCTTTTATGATAGAAGGGTTAAAAAAAGAGGTTTTGTGCCAATCCTTCTTATTCAAGTAGGCATTCGGTATCTGTTATATACCCACTCTGACAGAGCAAACAACACATTAAATGAATACAAACGCAAGCACTGGCCTCAGCAATAACCTAGAAGGAAATCAGATGCCTATCTGGTCTCTCCTAGTTTATGACAGCATACTGGTGATTATTTAACAACTAGCTAAAATCCCTGCTATACTTTTCATGTACCTCCAAGTTCAGCCTTGGCACCCAGTCTGGTGGATGGCATCCAGTCTGATGTGTAAGTGTGCCTTTAAAATTCTTTGCCCCTCCATCCCCCCAAAACCAGGCATCCTCCCCATTCTCTACACACTCCCAAGGAAGCTTTCCCAGATGTGGTGAGCCAGAGGCATGAAAAGTTAGCAAACTCTCCCTATGCCTGAAGAAGGGTGTTTGTGCCCAAAAGCTTGCAAAAAACTATTTTCCCAAGTATTTAGTTGGTCGAATAAAAGATATCACATCTACCCAAAGAACCTTGTCTGCCTATGTCCTTAGACCAACACGGCTACAACCAACAACCAACACATCAGTCATGTGCCCCATAGAGCCCCCAGTCACAACCCACACTGAACAGTCCTAAATACCACCTTGTTCTCCCCTCCTTCCCCACAGCACACACTATCGACTCCCCCCATTTCATGCCTGAAACGCCATGGCAAGCAGATCCCTCAGGTTAAATCATCCAGTTGCCAAAGCGGTTAGTTGTGTGGCTCTCAGGAGCAGGCACAGACATCTGAGTGGTACCAGTGTGCACACACTACCTCCTCTCTCAGTCAGTCCATGCCCGGCTGCTGGCTTGGGCTCCCTCTGGGCACCCCCTGTGCTGGCTGCTCTGAGTCCTGGCTGGGTTGAGTGCTTCTTCGCTCTTTCTCTCCCTCCACCTCTTCCCCCCCCCCACATACTCTTTTCCCAGGCTCAGATTGATTGATCACAATCAGTGGCCAATGGCTCTGACACCGCACCATCCTGGCTTTTGTAAAACATCCCCCTTTCCCCCCACCTCATTCATCCCATCCGATCTTCCCCTTCTACTACAGCTGCTGGCACTGCAACCCAGATCAAACCCGCACACACAACCCCAGATCCCACAGTCACACATACACACTCAGATTAAACACACACACACAGATCAAACACACAGACACCCCCACACTTACACCCATATCACACACAGAGAGATCAAGCGCACAGGCACACTCTCACATACACTCCCAGAACACACACACACTCCCAATACACACCATGATCACACACACACCTAGACCCACACACACACATCAAAAACACACAGATCAAACACACTCCCCCCACACACACACCCTGATCACACACACAGATCCAACACCTCTCAAACCAAACACACACACACACACACACACAAAAACACACCCAGATCCAACACAAACATACACCCCACACATGGATCAAACACACACTCCCCCCCATTCTGATCCAACAGTCACACACCTCCCAGCTCATACACATATAATATACACACCCAGATCCAACACACACACTCCCCTACACACCCCAATCAAACACACACAACCCCTGATCCAACACACACACTAGCCCCCCCCACACCTATCAAACACGCGCACACACACATACACACCCAGATCCAACACACACACACACACACACCCCCCACCCCAGGGACCCTGGGGAAGCACAAACCCGCCCTGAGAGCTCCTGATGCAACTGCTCTTGTGTTTATGATTGCCATGGGGGGAGCATTTCTGCAAAAAAGAAAAAAAAAATTGCGTGCATAAAGTTTACATCCTCTCGCCTCCCCGCTCCGTGAAATAAAGCTCCGTTTTGTTCCCTCCCCCCTTTGCAATAAAAATAGAAAATGAATTGGAGGGGGAGATGAGAAGAAAACCGAGCTGCCTAATCAAGGGGGCGAAACCCCCCACGATCGCTTTGACTGTCGCTGTCAATTTCCCACTTGCTCCCCCCCGCCAAAAAATCCCCCTTTTCCATAAGGTTTCCGAGTGCCCGAGGCCTCGGGGCTCGGGATTTCAAAGCACGCTTGCAAATGCACGCGAAATCGAGACGGAAACTCCGGCTGGGAACAGAAAAGGAACCGATTTGCAATCGCTACTTTTCTTGGAGCGCCCCTTCCCGACTTGTGTGCGGGGAGGGGGGAGGGAAAAAAACCCACTAAAAAAAAAAAAAACAACCCCCCCCCAAAAAAAACCACCCTCTTTTCCCATGCAGAAAATGGTAACAAACGCTACATTTCAGGCTGGCTGCGACTGTACTTTGCGTCTCGCCCGCTGGAGCTGCCGCTTCCTCGGTGTCTCCAGCCAGCACAATGCTCCCTGGCCTACCCTCCCCCGGTCGTGCTCTAACATCATAACCCCGAGCGCCCGAGACCTCCTAGTAAACAGGCAGCAAAATGCATCCCCTGCCGCCTCCTCGCCTGCCAAATCCCTGCCGCCCCCTCCCTCCCCGCTCCCGGCAAGCGGGGGGGGGGGGCG